CTCATGGCTGTTAAACGGGAAATGAAGCTGTAGTCTTCAGCAGATTTGACAGGATACAGGAAAATGAACAGACAGATAGCTTGACGGCTCCGTGGCGCAGTGGCTTAGCAATGAGTTTTTGCGCTGGGGGCCGAAGAATCTAGAAAGATTCGAACCCGCTCGAGAAAATTCTAGTGTGAGGGTAACGTTTAAAAAAAAAGCGCAATTTGTTGTTGCGTAAATGCCGCATGCATTTGCATCCAAATGCATGCGGCGGAATTTACACAACTTCAATAAAGCTCATATTGAAGAAGCGATCGAGCGCAACCAGGGATCCAAAGTCTTTACCTTGGCCAGAAAGAGCCAACTGTCAAAGCTGAAGACCGAATGTAGCAGCATAGTTTCCTGGACACCTGAGATTATGAGTGAGATTGAGAGGTTCTATGTACACATCACGTTGGAGCAACACGCAATTGTGAGTAAACGATCCGAAGGCAAGTCTTATCTGACACTATTCAGATGATATTATGGACGTCAGTCTGAGCGAAATTAGAATAGTTCTACAGCACCTTAAAAACGGCAAGTCTCTAGGCGAGGATGGAATTACAGTGGAGCTTCTGAAAGCGGATGGAAAACCGGTACTCAAAGTTCTTCAGAAGATGATGGATGACTTCCAGCCTCCCAAACAAGCTGGTTTCCGAAAAGGCTTTAGCACTATAGACCACATACATACATACCCTTTGGCGAGTTGCACAGAAGACGGAGAAGTAAAATCTGCTACTATGTCTTGCATATAAGCATTTGATTTCGTCAAAATTTGGGCGGTGCTGCAGTCCCTTCAGCGATGCCAAGTTGACTGTCGGTATATCGAAGTGGTTTGATGGCTATCCGAGTACATAATCAGAGTATGAAACCTATCCAACTGCAGAGAAGTGTAAGACAGGGTGACGTTATATCCCCGAAATTCTTCACCACTGCATTCGTAAACGTTTCCAAGCTACTGGACTGGAACGTATACGGTATTAACATCAATGGCGAGTACATCAATCACCTTCAATTTGCCGACGACATAGTCCATATGGCAGAATCGCAGGAGGGCCTAAGCACTACGCTCAATAACCTCAATAGTGCCTCCCAACGGATAAGTTTTAAGATGAACATGGACAAAACATAAATCATGTAACGTCCATGTCACACCTATGCCGGTAGTTGTTGAGAGCAATAAGCTAGAAGTTGTTGACGAGTATGTTTACCTTGGACAAATAGTCCGACTAACGTAAGTACAACTTCGACCGAGAGGTCAATCGACGAATTTAATTCAGCTGGGCAGCATTCGGGAAATTACGACACATCTTCTCGTCAGGTATATTTCAAAAGTTGAAAACGAAATTGTACAACCAGTGTGTGTTGCCAGTGATGACTTATGGATCTGAGGCGTGGTCCTTCACTGCTGGCCGTATGAGGAAGCTTAAGGTCACACAGCAAGATATGGAGAGCGCTATGCTCGGGGTTTCTCTGAGTGATAAAGTTATAAATGCAGATATTCGCAGTAGAACCAGAGTGACCAACATAGCCCAACGGATTAGTAAGCTAAAGTGGCAATTGGCCGACCATATAGCTCTTAGAACCGACAACCGATGGGGAGAAAAGGTTCTCGAGTGGCAGCCTCGTACCGGTAGGGGAAGTGTAAGGAGACGCCCCACTAGATGGTGTGACGACCTGGTGAGACATGCAGGAAGTCGATGGATGTAGGTGGCCCAGGACCGTGTTTTGTAACATTCATTAGGCGAGGCCTATGTTCATCAGTAGACTTGTGAAGGAAGACCATAGACTTGATTACGAAGCAGAAAGTAAGACTCAGCCATCTTCTCTATTGAAATTTGGATGTATTTTTTTAAATTTCACTAGACTCGCGAGTCATTATATGTAATGGCGGGGACGATCTTGAATATGTTCATAAACTACAGCTTTTTATCAGCTATACAGGGTTATTTTTCAAAGTGTATGAAAACTTATTATTGATTTCAAATATACTATAAATAATGATATACCGTTATTGCAGTTTTTTGAAAATACGGGTAAATAAGGACTCTACTTTTATTTGAAACTATTCCAATTTGAACGTGATTTATGGAAAACAACTACGCGTACGCGCGTTCGGAGCTACCCTAGCGAATGTGTGTGTGCGTAATAAGTTAGCAGGCTTTGATATTTATGAATAATATTCAGTTAAAATAATGCATTACTACGCATTCTGAATTTAAAAGATAAAAAGGACAGAATGTTTGAGATTTTTTTAATTAATTTTTCTTCACTATTCGCCTATATTAGTTATTCTGAACTTTCTCTGCTTTGACCTTATATTTAAAAATAACCCTGTTTTTTTAAATATAATTAAAAATAATATTTTACGTGGGTTTTTATAGATCTTTTTGTTGAACCTATGAAAGAAAGACCACATTGACTACCAATATTTTACATTACATTAATTGACTTTTATTTTTCTGCACCTTTTTTTAATGGAAGCTCGCTTCGAGACTTACACAATCACAATCACACAATTTTGTCTGCGACTCCTCTGACATATCAGCTAGTACAGAAGGCACACGCGTGACTGGGGCCAGTTTCAGTCGGTCACTGTGACGTAGGCCCGATCTTGGTGGCCAGATGTTTTCTGTCACAGATTCCTAATGTTCTGACACAGAGACTATCCCACTATTACTAATCTCATGGTAGCTTACTAAGATGAACTTAGGGAGATTCGTCATTTGAATATCAGTTGTATGAGTTATCGTCGTCACTCCATCATGACAGTTAGTATGAGTCTTTTTCCTATACACGGTGTAACTAATAGTGTCATCAACATTTCGGATGACTAAATCATCTAGGGAAACTAAATAATTATTTGCATCAAACTCAATTGTAAATTGTATTCTATACTTTATTGAGTTGGTCTATAAATGCAGTTCCTTTGTCTGACGGTAAATTTGTGAATGAGTTGTCTACGTACTACGCTTGTAGAATCTGGGATTTACAGTTGCAGTAAAAGGGATCCTGCTAGGTAAAGGTGCTAGAAGATGATGAAGAAAGGAAACGCTACGGTAAAAACTAGTACGTCAGAGTGTAGTTTTAAAATACAACAACTTTTATCAGATGAAAGTAGGTACATACAAAAAGGTCAAAACAGACCTTAAAACTAATGCGCTTAAAACAACTAGCGATTTAATAAAGATATACTTCGAAAAATCAAATCTCGATGTGAATTCGGTAATACCATTATGTGCCAAACCGGCGACGTATTCATGGAGAACTGAGGAGAAAGAGCACTTCTTACTGCTCCGGTAAGTCCAAGATTCTACAAGTGTACCACTTGACACTTACGCAATTTTACCATCAAATAAAGTAGCTAAATTTTAGTACATTTAAACTCCATACACTCTAAAATACTATTCACAATGGAGTTAGAGGTAAATAATTATTTAGCTTTCCTAGATGTTTAAGTCATTCGAATTCCTAATAGCACTATTGGTCACACTATGTATAGGTTAGCTACCATGGAAAAATCTTTCTTTCAAAGAGCACGAGGGACTTGTGACATAAAACATATGGCCTGACAGCTTCAACATGTCTAGCAAGTATAGCAAGACAACAAACTTCGGGTCCCATGCCTAATTCACAATGACAGAGTGAAGCCGGCTACAGTGGAGCGTGTGATTGCTATGCTAGCAGATGTCAGTGGAGTCACAGACAAAATTGGCTACATTTTGATGCGAGCTTCCATTAAAATCTACTACAAAGCACCAAAAAAGAATAGTAAATTTAAACCATCCATCAAGTGTAATGTCCCTCTACAAGGTGCAGGGCAAACAAATATATTTATAAAAACCCTCGTAAAAGAACACATAGCCGAGAAGCATCGACGCTCCGGGAAATCTGATGTTGGTGAACATTTTAAGATCGTCCCAGCCATTGCATCAGATTTGATAGACCACAAATCACAAGGATGATTCACGAGGCTAATTAAATTTAAAAAAGCATTCAAATTTCAATAGACTAGAAAGCTGGGTGCTACCATCTGTTTGGGATTTAACACTCTAAAATTGAAAGTAGCCCACTCTAATTTTGACATTTTGACGTATAAAAATATTATGTAAGATAAGAACGGTAAAATTATTGATATTCAACGTACTTTCAACCTCAAGATGTCTCGGTGGGCAGTGGTTGGGGTAGTCGCGAGAGCTTGAACTGTTAGATTTTGTTAAAATGTGTTCCTCAACATGACCTAAAAATCATAAGCCTTTTCATTTGATTTACACTGTTTCATTGTAGAATCTCCGCAAGTTACACGTTTAAATAGCGATTTAGTGTCATCATTATGACAGTTTTGTTTATGTATTCACAAAAAGCTTGTACGTATTTTTAATTATTTATATAAATTATTTTGTTTTTGCGCATGTTACAAATCACTGCAATGTTCCCTTATGCGCAGAGATAGAAGTAGTAATGCTTCTGCCCACCAGTAAGTACTAAATATAGTTTAGTTACCAAATAATCTTTCGTCGAACGTCAAACGACTAGCTGAGATTGAGATTTGAGGAAAAGTTGGCATATTTCTATACACTTCATAATTTGGTTGTTTAGTTATATTTTTATTTAATACGGTAAGATACTATTACTTATTTGTTAAATGTATATCGATTAACACAATAAGGACGAGGTATAAATGTATATTATCATGTTAGGGACGTGAAATAGCACGTGTAGCTTTATTTGTTTAAAGTTAGCTGTAGGTGCCCACGGACTGCAGTAGCCACTTACTGTATGTTCCTTTGTCACTATAGTTTTAAAAATTAAAAGCCCGGTTTAAAATACACCACTCAATATGGAAAGTCGATGTTACAAATATACTACTTAATATTATGTTATTTTTGACACATCAAGTCAAACATGATACAAATTTATAGAATTATATCACAATGGTACTAGTAAATAGATATGTTTATTTTTAAAAGATTACTTACCAACTTCATCCGCTTTAACTAATTTCGAAGCAATCGATCTCAAGGAAGTAGCGCCAGCAGAACTAAACATGTCCAGAATTGGACCCAGGAAGTACACGGTGCGGTTTGGAGCCATCGCGTATGCCACACTTGCCGCAATTCTACTCAGACATGCGAACACCCCGATGATACTGTCTTCTATGTTCCATCTTTTGCTGAACACGTAAAGTGTGGTGAAGGAACCTATACAAAAATAATTACCATTATTAAATAAATCCAGTTTTGTATCTTTTAATAGTCTACTGATTTCTTTTTAAATTTATGTATGTACACTCAAAAGGCACATTAACATTTATACAGTCAGTCCATACAAGGGTAGTTCTTATGCCGACTGCTGCGTTTTTACCTTTTGCTCGGGTTTGAAACTCAAATCAAAAATCAGTTATTGAGTTTTTTTGCAAGGATTTGTCAGCAGTGCGTAGTCAGGAAACTGGCAGTGCCCATGCCCCAAAAAAACACGTAAGTCGATGTTCCTGCTCCTAATCTTTCTTCAGTCGTGTCGAGTTGTCGTCCCATCAGATTATGAAAGCGAAGGAAAAGAGAGTGCACCTGGATTTGCACATACACTCGATCACTATGAATACATATGTAAGTAAAGAAAGTACTGCGCAGATCGCCAATCTCTTTTGAGCACCATAAACACACAAGTAAAGAAAGTACGGCGCAGATCGCGAGGCGAGGGGAGGCCTGTGTCCTGCAGTGGGGTATATAAGCTGCAACTTTAGCACACATATAGGATAATTGATAAAAATGCAAACTTAATTTGCTTGTAACATATAAATCGTATGCAACGTCACACTACGTGTACTTTTTGACTTTTATATAAATAGTATATTATAATATGGATAAAATATAGCTTATTTTGTTATACACAATATTCATATTTCTTAAACAAATCATTACATTATAAAGCGAGCTAGGGTTATCTTTAGTTACAAAGGTAGCTTAATGTGACTATTAAATTGAAGGTCTTTTTTGACCGCTGCTAAACAAATAAAACATAAATAATAGTCATACTATATAATAAATAATTAAACATACACACGAATACTAAAATATGTAAAACGATAATACATTTTGAAATTGGCACGAAGCTAAGTAGTGGTCTGTCAAGTTTTCATGAATATAGATTTAAATAATATATACATAGCATAAACATAGCCATACATATTATTAGCATTAATACACTCATAAAGCATGCATTTTAAACGTACAAGATGCAATAAATATAAATTAAAGTGAGTAATGTGAAGCAATAATGTATTTTGATTCAGCGTATGTTCTTAATGGCGTATGCTGCAAGCGGTACTGGACCAGCGCTGATTTTCAGCGGAAAAAATAATGATTTATATTTTAAGAATTCCAAAATCATTTTAAACTTAAAGTATGTATTATAAAGTAAGGTACGTGAGGGTAATATGGTCACCTTAAACTATGCCGTTCTATAAAATCAAAACTAGGAGGAGGACAGAGACAAATACACAATGTCGTAGACTATAACTAATATATTAAGAAAAATATAGCAAACATGCTTCGAAAAATCAACTTAAAGAAAACTAATTACACTACCCAATACTAAAATCGACTAAAATATTTACTATCACACATGATATAAAGATATAGTTTCATAATATTTATTGTTAGAAGGTAGCGAGTTTCACAGCGAGCTGAGAATAGAAAAGTTAAGGAAAGTTTCGACATGGAATATTCATGGAACGTCTCGATGTTGAGCGAAGGAATCGCTTTCATAGATATGAGGGAGAGAATGTATTGTCTAGGATGTTATAACGTTAATTATCTGATTTCTCTAATTAGTTGATATTCCGATCAGTATTATATTACTTTGATGTACATTATGGTAGATTTAATCGAGACTAGGGATAGATAGAAAGTAGCTGACTACATTGAAGATGAAAACTCTTAGGCTGTAAAATCAAAACGTATAAATAATGTATTTTTTGATTTGAGTAGTCGCGTATACTGAAACTCCGTTGATTAATCTTTTCGCAAGAAGTTGCTATTTTAAAACTTTGACTTATGGACGAGTGCTTTAAGTTCCTCATGGATATTTTTTGTTGACAATTTACTTGTGTGTTAAATGTTACCTAATTTAACGAAAGAATTTCTCTCATACCTAGTTTCTATATTTAAGAAAATTGCGTTGTATTTTACGGCTTGTTATACATTGCAGAAAGACCATGATATAATAATTTATAAAAGAAAATATGGGTTCCAAAACATACGACAGGTATGTTGTTTAATTTTTAGTTTTTGTAAGTTGTCAAATTAATTATTTGTAATATAAACGGTTTTACACGTAATTCCGATTCAATAAATCGGACCATAGTGGAGTACGAATCCTTTCTTGAGTATAGAACTCAGGCATATTATGCCAACACCAATTCTGTTACTGAACGTTTTATGTTATATGATAAATGCACTGAACTCTGATAAAAATTAAATTCTTCCTTTTATAAATATTATATTAGTGGAGTTTTAGGTTTATTTAAAAAGTAAAGTTACAAACTTAATGCTGGCGTTCTCTCATTATTGAAAGAGTTATGGAGGTGGCAGTTACTCAAATGCATGTTGACTGACTTCATATCCTTGAAATATTTCCACAAGATGCTTTCCTTAACCACTAATAACTTGGTAAATCAGCGCTCAAAATTAAGAATATAATTGGTGATATATTAATAATAAATAATACCGTATAAAAATAAACTTGATAAAATATACTCTTGGTGAGCCAAAACAAATATAGCTTCCGTACAAGATAAGAAAATTAAATACTATTTACGTCCCGCACCCGCATTCTTAACAATTTCCACTGAGTTAACAGTTCGCACGCTGATGTTAATATTTAGTGTACAAATAATTAGACGATGCTTAAGTCTTTTGCTTTTGTTTATGTTTATGTTAATGCCGCTATTCTACGCTGTTGCTGTGAAAATGGTATCATTTTTATCAAAGATAACATCTGCTAATAAACTAGAAGCGTGTATCATAGTACAAATAATTTAAAGGAAACTTTTGTATTATTAATATACACAAAATCATGAAATTGTGATTCACTTCTTTACGAACAATGTTCAAGATAAAATTAATACAAACTAATTTCAAAAGAAAAGGTAATAGTATTTTCCTTTTCTTGTATCAGTGTATTATTTAGATACACATTATTTAATAGGGAAAAACGATAAATATACAGCAGTATAAACAGCATGAAAAATACTTTATTACAATTTACAACGTATTAAATTAGCACGATGCAAAGTAGTGGCCTATTACAAGTTTCTTGCTTAAATATATTATTATATCTGTATTTTTGCTATTTTGAATTATAATTAGATAAGAAATAAAAAAAATCAAAGTTATGACTACACGTATTTTGTAAGATTTTGTTATCCAATTTTGGTACTGTAAATAGTATGTAAGTAGCATTTATATTGTCGTATAATATAATATTTTTGGACAACAATAAATGTTGTATTCTACGAAATTATACGAATTAATCACGCACAATAATATAATCGATTTAGAACAAATAAAATTCAATCCTGATATCATGTACGTATGAATATATTATCATTATAATTCATATATTAAAAGAGAGAGTTTAGAGTAGAAACATTTGCAAATGATTATGTATCTTTCACTAGACCCGAACAAAGCGAAAGTTTCCAATATTCGCACGCACACGGTTGCAACCGTTTGTTGAAACTACTGTCAGTGCAAATCTATAAACTTATGTACGATCGCTGATAATTATTATTCCTGAAAAATTACTACTTCTTAAAGCAGTAACTGTATATGTACTATGACATGGCTATCAGATAACAGATTAAGGCTATCATGGGCTATTAAAAAAAATGAAGTAACAGAAATAAAGCAGGTAGTCGTTTTATACGTGGATATCTGGAGTTCTTTGTGGTGTAGAATTTCTTGTAAGAAGAGATTTTACCATGATTGACCGAATTGATTATTGATTGAAATAATTTATAGACTGAAGCTGCTGTTATTGTGTACTGTGCTAGGTAGATTGTGGGCAATGTTCTGTTTGCGTTTATAAAAACATTTATTTTTCTTATTTATATATATATATATATATATATATATATATATATATATATATATATATATATATATATATATAGTATAATTTTAGACTTATTATAGAACATGCTTTGATTTGCCCAAATATAAGATATTGTTTATTAGCCCTTAAATAAACGCAAAAAAGAGTGTTCTTCCTCGTTTTTCCCCGAACAGAAAAATCTCATTTCGAAATGGTTGCAAATCGAAAAATGAAGTATTTTATTTTATTTATTTCAAAAATTTGAACTTAACTATAATTGAAACACGTGGAAAAATCTCAGCACAGATTATTTTAAAGGCAACAAATAATATAACAACAAAATACCACGAATTATGTTGGCATCATAAAACATATTCCATATTGAAACATGGATGGTTGTAAAAATTAAATTACTGTCAATGAAATTTTTATGGCAGTTTGAAACATATTATGGAAAATATAACGGAAGATAAAATAGGAACCAATTTCAACGATAACTACCTAAACATCCTCCGTTTCATTGATAGTGTTATTATTATACCCCAGAAACCTAAAAAAGGAAAGGGGACTACAGGAGCTAAATGCAAGTTTTATAATTCCTTAAAGTATATCATCCACTACAGTAAACAAAATCAGAAAAATATATGATATTTTTCAGGATATATGCTAGTTAGATAGTGTGTTGAAAATATGTATCTACTAATTTGGTACGATACGAAAAAACCGGCCAAGTGCGAGTCGGACTCGCGCTCCGAGGGTTCCGCACAAATCCATAGTTTAAAATTATTAAAAATATTTTTATTATATGATGTGACTAAAAATTTATGCTTTTCACAATTTTTCCTTTATCTGTGCTACAATACGTTGCTTCGTACCAAATTTTAAAATTCTGAGTTCACGGGAAGTACCCTGTAGGTTTTGATTCCCTGATTCCCTTGCGAATGTCGAAAATTTGCAGCATAAACGGCTGTATCTTTTGATTGCGTTGGCTTAGAAGTTTGATTTTTTCACAGCTCCAAGGGACAGTAGACTTAAGTATTTCATATGAATTTCAGCTTGATACCTCTACGCGTTCCTGAGAAAAAGGGTCTTGACAGACAGAGACAAAGTGACCTATAAGGGTTCCGTTTATTCCTCTTGAGGTACGGAACCCTAAAAATCACAAAAATACCTCTAAACATCAACGTTAGTGATGGCCAGTTTGTGCTGGTGTGTTGAGTTAATCGGACGTGATGGAAGAACAAGAGAAGAATCATGACGAGAGTTCAGATTACAAGAGAATTACGGGTACATTCGTCATAGGAAAAGAAGACTGATTATTGCTCATTTTATTAAGAAAAGACGCAAATAGTCTTTTATTTCCGGATTGTACAATAAATTGTACAAGGATATGTTTAGCGTATTCAATAAATAGCTCCATGCTGCAAATGCTTGTTTCACTGCCTGCGCATATCCCACATTAAACAAAACAAACAACACTAAGCGAATGGCGCCAGAGAGGTAGGGTAAGGGGGTGAGAGGCACTTAGCTTAGTTCGCGTAGCTTTGGATTGGCCTACACAACTAGTTTGACTTAGTTCGGCTATTTTACCTAGCTTCGCTGGCATAATTTGCGGTGGACGCACATGTATAAAAAAGTGGCTCAGCTATGCAAGTTAGTTTAGTTTGCGGTGGACGTTCGGCTTAATACGTACGCATGCGTGCGTAAACGCCTGTGTACAAACAGTGCCGGTCGACGCCTGACGCTATACAGAAATTGTGTGAAAGCGCGTGAGCGATATTCACTTAACTCTTGTAGTCCTCTTAACCAAAAAGCCTAAAATTAAACACTGAAAAAACTAAGGTACCTCTACAGTCTACACTAATACAAACAAAACCAATTCCGTCAAGGCGGCCAGTCTTCACGGAGATTAGCTTTATACACAGGACTCGATTACAGAACAGCACGAGCATGTGTCCAAACACTCCACATACAGTCTTTATTTCCTCACTCTGCTTGCACAATAGGATGGCAAAACGATACGGCCGAAGAGAGATTAGGTGCATGACTTCTTAACAGAAAAATCCAATATTTGGTTTTAGCTTGACTTGGGACTCAAAACTAGGACATCATGATCAGCAGTAGCGCTTACGACCGCTAGGACTAACGTGGTAGTCAAGGTCGCTACAAACTACATCGAACTTTAATATGTAACACTTTTAGAATATGTGTAACCTTTTCGAACACTATAAAACTATATGTAGCACTTCTAGAATATGTGTTCTAGAATATGTGTAACCTTTTAAATTATTCTATCTGCTCTATCTATATTTATATCTGCACATGAAGTACCACATCATCCGACTACGACCAACCGTGAGAGAAACGATAGAAGATGTCTACGCTGTCGAGTATGGAAGGCAGCACCACGGTCAGCGGTCATAAGGGGCTTACCACCCGAACGGTTAGAGGCGTTCGCGCGACCGTTCACAGTTCACACACACCGGACTCGACTATTTCGGGCCATTGTCGGTAACCGTATGGCGACGGCACGAAAAAAGATGCGTAGCGTTATTTACGTGTTTAACGACGCGCGCAGTAGGTACACGTAAAAATCGTAACTATATAACCACAACGTATAATAGTAGGTATTTAAGACATAAACGGCAGGCTAATTTCTATGAATTTTAATAAGTTATGTAAAGTAATTGAATAAAACTATTTTTATGGTTTTTATCGCGTATAGTTTACTTATTTTAATTCCCGACCTTTCGGGTGCTTTACAGTAGCCCATGGTCACGGGAGTGAACTGAGACGTTTCACGTCCCGATGCTATAGTTATCCCGGCTACCTTCATTATTTGAATATTAATTTTTAGTTCGATCTACGCAGAATGAGCTTATAGTATCTTGATGTCTTGCAGATTTTGTTAATTGTAGGATAATTATAGTTAATTATAGGCGCGTTTACCGCTGAAAAGAAACCCTTTGTCGTATCTCCTCAGTTGCAATGCACTCCCCTTGTTGCCTCATCCAGTATCGGAAACCTCGGCGTCGGCATGTCGAGTGACGTGCAGTTTCGTGGTCACTTGGAAGAGAAAGCCAAATTGGCCTCTAAAAAGCTTGGCGTGTTCAGCTGAGCGGGACAGTGTTTCATGCCGGCACACCGCCTGAAAATTTACAAGTTGCAGGTTCGGCCTCACATGGAATACTGTTCCCATCTCTGGGCTGGGGCTCCCCCGTGATAGCTCCTTCCACTTGGCCGTATCCAGCGCAGAGCGGCTCGAATCATCGACGACAGAGCCCTTTCCGATCGGCTCGATTCACAGGCGCTGCGAAGAGATGTTGCATCTCTTATCGTATTTTATCACATCTAAGACGGAAGTGCTCTGAGGAATTGTTGGGACTAATTCCAGTCGCTCAATTTCACCATCACACATTGTGACAAAACTCGCGATACCATCCGTACCATATGGAAGATTGGGGGTCCACCACTGTGCGATTTAGAAGAAGTTTTCTTCCTCGCACAACTTCCTTGTGAAATCGATTACCAACAGCCATTTTTCCGGACCGATATGACTTAGGGACCATCAAGAAAAGAGCCTACTCCTTTTTAAAAGGCCGGCAACGCATCTGCAATTTCCCTGGTGTTGTAGTTGTTCATGACCGGCGGTAGTCACTTACCATCGGGTGAGCCACATGCTCGCTTGCCCCTTCTCCTATAAAAAAGAAAAAAATAGGATCCCAAGCAGATGGTAGCACCCATCCATCTTCTCTATTGAAATTAGGATGTTTTATAATTTCAATAGCCTCGCGTATGAAAGCACCCGAAACGTCGGGAATTAAAATAAGTAAATTATACGCGATGAAATCTATGAACATAGTTTTATTCAATGTGTAGTGTTTGCGTAAATACGAGAAATCATTATATAACGTAAATTAAAATCACACCATATAAAATTTCCACTGCTGGGCCCAGGCTTCCTCTCATTTCTGAGAGGGTCGTGTAGTCATTAAACTACCGCGCTGCTTCAGTGCGTGTTGTTACATTAATTCTCGAGTTACATAAATTCCTGAAAGTGGACAATTTTTATGCAATTTGCAACTGTATTATGACTGCAAAACTGATAGATCGGCTAGAAATGCGAATGACCATGCTCGCACAGTTTATCAGCATAAAATAGCAGCATAAACTGCTGTGTATCGTATGATGTGTGAAAGGAACAGGACCTTTATATTGTTGACGCGGAATTTCACTTAAAGGTTAACAACGTATCTTTATTTTGATTCTTAGTGAAGGATAGGTGTACGTGGGTATCTATGGTTCTCAGCATTTGATAACAAACAGGTGGACTGTGTGCTGGTTGGTCACCTTCATTTCTTAGAAAAAAGCATTCGTTTACTTAGTTAATAAAAAAGTAACTTACCAACACTGCCGATAAGGACGGAGTACGTGAGGAACAAGCTGTAGTCCACTTCGGTGAATTTGAACTTGTAACGTGTAAACCAGTAGGTCATCTGCGACTCACCTTTATTCAAAATAACATTCATATTAGTTAAGCATCCGAGTTCTTTAGCGTCGGCAATCTGTAAACATTACTCTTAATAGGCTCTACTTTATTTCAGTAGCATCTTTCCGTAGCCTATATTTCTTTACTTAACAGAATTCTTACACTAATATCTCTATGAACTTAAACGTAGAATGTTTGCGTTATAATTTGAATAATAAAATAATGCAAATATAAAGAAACCAAGCAATAAAAAATTTATATAAAGTATTAATTTACACGCAGGTCAAGTTCATGAGTAATCAAAGCAATTTGATCTATATACATCCATTAGATCCTTACTTGTATCACCATAATCATACAAAAAGAAAATTCACATCTGTACATCGATATCTTATGTTACATCTACGTTTATATAAAGTTGTTATCCTTTTCACTACGAAACTAAGCCGGGTAGTTTCGTAGAATTAGAAACTCCAATAAGATGAGTTTGTATTAAATTCGAAGATAAATGTTTAGCAGTAGACATATGAAGGGTTGTAATGATAATGATGAATGAATTATAATAATAAAGTAAAGTACAAAAAATGTCCAAGTAGGGATATATAGTATGACATACTTATATTATTTATTTATATTTAGCAGTTGAGTAAATGCAAACGGTGTTATAATTATAATTATTAAAATAATATATTATATAAGTGATACATAATTAACCGTTGTTTAAACTACCGTGTAGTGGCGATGTAAGAATATCCACTACCCCATAACATCCTGTAGGTGTCGAAAGTGGTGACAAAGGGAAACAAACCAGGAGATGGGCAGCAGCGCTTTTTTAATAACGGCTTAAAATAAAAAGAAAATGAAACTGAAATTGCACACCCACTTACCAAGCGTGGCAACTATAGCAAATATTTCTATGGGGAAGGCCTATGTCCAGCAGTAAATATTAATAGACGGTAATGGTAAGTTTTGTTGTTTCACATCCATAATATCTCTTTGAATTCACTGCTTTCATAATATGAATAAAGATTTGCCCATACTCACCAGGCTGGGCATTGGTAAAAACTTTTCTTTTTATACCTATCAGTCATCAGAGCCTCGTCTGTTAGTCACTCGTAGCATTGTGCACCGCGTGCAGGTGACATTATCATTCGTAGGTTATGTTCGTATATCCCGCTTACATTTGTTGTATATATAAGAAATTGATTTCTGTATTCTGTAATACAATTGTCCATTGTATTATAAAACTATTTGTGCCTAATCATATGCCCCTAATAAATGAGGACAGAGTCTGGGAAGTAGATCTGCTTTCGTCACAATAGGCACAATTATAGCTGTAGTTACAGTCAACAAGCCTAAACACATGATCTCCTCATATAGCCAGGACTATATAAAAATTAATATCTGCTTGTTCATTTTATATGCGCTGCCATGCCGTTCATTAGTTTGCTCAAAACTTTGTTAGCTTATTGCTTGCACTTGCACAAAGGTTATAGGCATAGTGCAATTAACTTACAAATTACCGACAGTACCAACAAATTTATTTAAAAATTATATATCATACAACTTCAATAAACGTATTATCATTTCTAATTAAACAATATAACTCTTTCAAATTTAAAACAATATTTCCGCAATTATTTCTTCAGCGGCAACAACACACCGGGTAATAGCTAGTAAACAATAAAAATAATAATCTAATACATTCTCTGACGTCCATTGTAGGCAAAACATTTTAATGAATTTCTTTTGTAAACGATTCGTGCTAGTATTATTCCAATAGATAACTTCTAAGGGTTAAATTTTGAATATTGTCGGTCTATATAAAACGCTTATACACATTTACGTATATTTATATCACTGTAGGTATATGATAAGTAATTTAGGCCGAATATAATTTATCTGTTGAACTTAATAACCTATCAAAAAATTAACGTTAGAAGGTGTTAAGATTGAGAACGCAAGTAAGCTAAATATGTAGTAGTATAAGTATGAGTAGTAAATAATTAAACCACACTAGCTGTCGCAAGACAAGTGCGAGTAGGAAATTTAATGCAGTGGACATGGACGTAAGTATAAATAATATTTATACGTCCACGGCAGTGGAAGAAAATGTTCTTCCGTACATTAGTCTATATTACAGTCGACGCTCCAAGTGCAAACGTAAGTTTGTAATCGAAAATAAATATTTTGTGTGATACAATTACTACTTTATTTGTGTTATAAGACCATGCTTCTTGCCCAATTTCGTGAATCTAGGTGAAAGGGATCTTTTGATTGCGCTGACTTAGAAACTTCATTTTTTATATCTTCAAGTGACCTTAGACCTATTGATATTTGATATTAACGTACCTATTTGATATTAATTTCAACATGATCTCTATCCGTTCTCGAGAAAATCGGTTTTGACGGAATGTCACACGGACCAACGGACAACAAAGTAATCCTATGAGGGTTCCATTTTTCTTTTTATCGACCATTACAGGGTTGCGTACTTTAGATCTAAAATACTACTAGTTACGTGGTAGAGCCATACGGCAGCTATATTACTGGTATAGTTGTATTTTTTTTTAATTTTTTATTTTATAGGAGAGGGGGCAAACGAGCATACGGCTCACCTGATGGTAAATGAAAAATTTAACGCATATCATAGAATCTTATGCAATATTTATTTCTTAATGTACATGATATTTTAAAGACTTCTATCGACAATTCTCTAGTAATAAGGGTTTTATGATAAACAGATACTTATGAAAATGTATAAAAAATAACTCAATTTTGTTAAACTTCCTTTAAAATGCCTTACATATTAAATATTCGTGATTTTTTTTAGATTTTATCTATAATACCAATTGAGATGCGGAATTGTCAAAGATAAAATTGTTAAATACTAGCGAACCGTCCTGGTTTCGTCTGAGTTAGATTTAGTGACGTGACGACGTCATTTAGGTTTAAGATATTATCAAAGACTATTTTTTTTTCGATTTCACAAAAAAATCTCGATCAGATCGATCCTGACATTACTCTACGATCTATATCGATCCGAGAAGATTCATTACAATTAATTGGTTTCGCCATTCAGAAGACAGTCAAAATTTTAAAAATTCTTATTCACGTCTTAATCACATGCAAATAAACCCCTGAGTTCAATAATGGCAGCTGGATAATTGGCGGTGCAATACTATGCGATGTACAAGAGGTTTTCTTCCTCACACAATGTCCTTGTGGAATCGAATACCACCAGCAATTTTCCCGGACCGATATGACTTAGGGGCCTTCAAGAAAAGAGCCTACTCTTTTTTAAAAGGCCAGACAACGCGTCTGCAACTCCCTTGTTGATGCAGTTGTTCATTGGGCGGTGGTAGTCATTTACCATCAGGTGATCCGTATTTCTCGTTTGCCCCGTCTCATATGAAAATAATTTAAAATTAAAAAAGTTGTACAACCGACTTAGATATAAATTATTAAGAATAACTCAAAAACTATTGATCAGACCTTGATCATTCAATTTATACAGGACCACATGAGTAGCAGCAGCTTTCAAATAAAAAAGATTCATCAAAATCGGTTTACCCAGAAAAATGTTATGAGGTATCACACATAACAAAAAACATACAGTCGAATTGAGTACCTCCTTCTTTGCGAAGTCGGTAGAAAACTGATCCTTATCTAACCTAACATAATTTATATCACGTGTATTTACGTGAGATTCAACAACAGTGAATGGATTTAAAAAAGGACGTGTCATTTCTACTGAAAGATCACGTTTGACCATTGTTTGAAGATTTTATATCGTTCCTAGGTACGGATGCGGTGACGAAACATAACTTTCTGAATTTAATTTTGCTCAAGGAATATTTTAAGCGGCCCCGTGGAAATTATCATCGTCATTACAGCCCGCCATTACGCCTGATCTACCTGAGTCCATTTAACAATTTTTTTGTGTTGGTGTGTTGGCTATATATAGTAAGCATATTTTTTTACTTACTATATATACGAGTAGTAATTTTCAAAAAGATATTGCTGTTGACCTGCTTGTTTTCCTCCATCATCTCTTACGATATCCACGGGTGATGTTCATATTCTTACATCACCATTACACGATCCGTGTAAATAAGGTTAAAATTAAAGAAGAGATTTACCTTATTTGTGTAATTAATAGAATCAGGCGTTACTTTGCGGAAGTCCATTATATTAAATTTGACAAAAAATTACTTTGCGTATATCCGCTAGATAAAATAAAATGATGTGTCTTACCTAGTTTGAAGAGCACCACCCGCCCTCCCTCAATTGCATGAACTGTCCCCGTCACCACTAATCCCAGCACCACTACTCCCAACACCACTACACTAGGAAAGACACACAACTGACGACAATACGACACGAGTTTCGCCTCTACACGAGGCATCCTCAGATGATATAGACTCTATGGTAGCTAACCGCGGTTAGCGGATGTACGCAAAGTAATTTTTGGTCAAATTTAACTTAATTGTGTAATTAAATATCGAAATCCGGTAAGTCTCACCATTACTCAAAATTAAACTATTAATGGCGTCAAATTTAAAATTAAAATTAAAATCTATATAAGTTTTTACCAGATTGAGATAAGTCAATTAAAACTCTATGAAAATAACGGTCAAAACCGTCGATTTTTTTCATATCCCGGTAAGTCCTTTGACAAGTGTTTATCAATCTCAAGCATGTCCGCACCGGCCAATCAGAGTAAAGTATAGCACAAAGATGGCTGCCATTTGCATGAGTTATTGAAAGCGAAATACTTTACACTCGTAGTTTTTATTTAATTATTTTGATAAAAATGAGTGAGAACAGTTTATGTCTAAATGTGGTGGAACCAGATAAAGCAAAGAAAAAGACAGAAACGGGCCGCAGAAAAAGCAAAAAGGTAAATGAAACACCAACACAGTACCTAGATAAGGACTAGTTTTATTGAAACCGACTTTGTACTACAGGGTCGTACTCGGCTTGAAAATTGATATTATCGTTTTATTAAGTAATGA